AATCAATGTGTCATGTGTTAGCAGACCAGCTTTTTTAGTCCATTTATCACCATGCATTGTAGTCCTTAGCACAAATAATACCAGAAAATGTGTTGTTACCATTTCTGATGTTTTAAATTTGTCCTTCCAGTTTAACCCTTAACAGGCCATGGCATTCAGACTCACGGCTTCTCAGACCTTTTGCTCAGATTCATTCTTTTCTGCTTTTTCTGTTATTCATTACCTGGAACTATGTTTGCTGAATCATACAATATCTCAAATTGGAAGGGACTCATAAAGGGGATTGAGTCCCATCCCTGCTCCTCACAAGGAGTCCTAAAACTAAACCATGTGACAGAAATGTCCAGATACTCCTTGACCAACTTGAACTCTGACAGCCCTGACAACAACTTCATGCATGAACTTATTCTTCCTGTTAAAGGGTGTTGTTGGTTTTTTTCAACTCATATACTCTTAAATTTAAATTTCAGGGTTGTACCTCTTGGAAATTCACCGGAAAGTTGTCACCAAAATTGGAGCAGTCAGATATATGATTGTGTTTAGCACTTTTCTTTCTTAAGTTATCTAACTTTASGCATTTGGCTGGTTTAAGGTACACATTACACACAACTCCAGGTTCGATTTTCTTCTTTAGACACATAAACAAGATCATAAGGTCATGATCTCCTATACCAAAGCTTCATGTTAGTTCTGGAGATTTATTGACTCTCTCATCTTCAAAGGTGCTATTTTCAAYGGTGAAAATAGGTTTTTTCAAACGAGTTTGAATCAATGGAGGAGGCTGCAAGTTTTCTGGATAAAGGCAGTTTCAAGGATGAAGTACAGCTCTGAGATTCCTGGCTTTTTTAAAATGAAATACAAACTATTCAATATCATTAAAGCACTTAATTAACTGCATTAAGAACCAGCTAACAGAGGTCAGGCATTATTTTTTTATGGGAAATTATTCTCATGGATGTGTGGCAGTACCAGACACTACCAGTGAAATGGAAGRTATTCAGTGTTTCCACTGGTGATTTGTACTTAAAACTGAAATTGATTCTGATTAAATTTTGTAAAGCAAGGGGATAMAAGGCAAAGTGGTAGAAAGGAAGAAGGAAGAGCTGATCTGAGCAAACTAGGAGCCTGAGGGAGAGAACCAATTTGCAGGTTGGGATAACATCTTCTGGAATACAACAGTGATTTCTGGCTGAATGGATCCAAGGAGATCAGAATCAGAATCGAACAGGTACCATTCTGAAAAGGTTTAAGAAAAGCACAGAAAAATGAAGCTTGGAAATGTAAGTTGTAGGAGGATACAAGCTCTCTAWTGAAGCACCAGAATAAATTGCAAAAAGCAAAAACAGTATGTTCCTCCACCTCCAGGTGAGTTCTGTTAACAGTGCCTTAGCCCATCAAAAGTTCTTTAATTCAAGAGAGAYATAATTAAGAGAAGCTGAGGAGATTTTTATTGTGAGACCAAGGTTAGGCAAGGCAATATCTTGGTCCTTTCTCCCTACTGTGCTGGATAACTGCACATATTGGTTTCTTCYTCATCTTCATCCTCAGCTGCTCCTWTTGGTAAAACATCCAGKGYTCCTGATCCACTGGACTTTGCACTCTACAAGCACCTACTAAAGAGAAAAGATCTGTTTTGCAAATCTTACTGTGGAGATTAATAAATATAAAGGCCCTGAACACTTAATTGTGTTAGAAAGGCAGTATTTCTTATGAGGGGAAGAGCTACAAAGCAGAAACTAAACAAAAAAGAGTGCAGCTTTGATTTCTTCTCTCTCTCTCTCCAAAACCAACAGCACTTGAAATAAGGGGGAATCAAACATTAGACATTTCCAAGTCATATGTATTAAATTCGCTTAAGATATTGTTATCCTTGTTTAGATTTGAACATATTGGGGAATCTTTTTGTGTTGCAACTATTCCTAAAAGACTTTAAGTGGCTGGATTGCCTTTTTCTGACAAAAAAAAAAAAAAATCTTTCCATGAATTATTTACACGACGGCTCCAATCAACGCTCTACCTGTCAGCCTCCCCAGCCAAAATGAAAGTTCACTATGTAAAGGTGCCAAGGGAGAGTGGCAGCCTCCCACTGCGAGTTTATAGACAGAACTAAGTCAGCACGCATTATGTGTCAGAGCCGACATCAGACAGAATCAGATGCTTTGATCTCAGACCTCCACAGGAAGCTTAGATCTCAGACAAATTAGATAAAAAATGAATTTATAGCAGATATGTGTCCTAAGGCACACAGCTGAATGCTGTGTTTTGGAGGAGTACGGCAAATATCAAAACACATAAACTGCAGAATTTCCTCTTTCMTTCTCTCTCTCCCTCTGCTTTTGTGATAGACACTAATTAAAGGGAGATAAAGCTCCAGCTCGCCTCTTCCTGCTTCTTATGTAATCCACAGGCTTTGGCAAGAAGGAGGAAAAAAAATTCCCAAACCCGAGTAAATGGGGGGTTCAGCAGGGTTATCYGAATGCCCTTAGATCTGTGCTGTTGGCAGGTGAGATTAAAAAAAAGAGCCCTCGACTATGGTAAGAACATTTCACACTTGCAGAGAGGGAAGCCAGCGCTTTGTGCTGCCAGCCACATGGCCCCAGGGCTGTCTGCTTCTCTGTGACCTCAGAGGGACTCGGGTTTGATCAGCACATGATGAAAGCACACATCTGGAGGAGGTGTGAGGGAAGGGTTGTTTGTGGCAGGACCCTGGGGAGTGAAGCAGGACACAGAATGGGTGGGTGGGAGTGGAGCTGCTCTGGGCTGCAGGGTTGGACTCACAGAGACCCTACAAATGAGCCCTGGGTGGGGTTTTTTTTACCTCCAGTGGAATTCAGTGCAGTCCTTCACAGCCTGCAAACCTGTCCAGAGCTTTTGATGCCACTCCAGCACCTGAAGGTTTGGGCAGTGAGGAGCCCTGCTCCTCCAGGAGTGTGGGGACACCAGGAGTGTTGGTCACTGCCCTACCGCAAAAACACCAGGAGAAATCATGGACTCATTGAAACAGAATATTCTGAATTGTGGGGAAGGGATTCACAAGGTTCACTGAAATCCAGACCCTGTCCCTGCGAAGACACCCCAAGAACCACAGCATGTGTCTAAGGGGGACCAYGATGCTGCCTTCAGTGCAGCTGGGAATTCACTCCAACTGTATTAAAGGAGATGAAATTACAAAGAGAAAAGAGGAGAAAGAGGAGGGAATAAAGAGATGAGAGCTGTGCCATTGGTCCTATACAAACCTATGGRATCACAGAATCATTRAAGCTCAAAAAAAGCTTTTATCTCATTGAGTCCACCCACCAGCCCAGCACCACTAAAGMTCTCCTCAGGGTTAAATCCCACACATTTTTTGAACACTYYCAGTGATGGTGGATCCATGATTCCCTGGGCAGCCTGGGAACACCTGAACATGTTAAAAGCCATAAAGTGACTCTTTTGGTGTTCAAACATTTATGAATTGCAGTCTCACCTCCTGCTACAGGCACTCCTTTTTTATTTTGTCCTTGGTTGCAGCAACGCTTGATAGGAGCTGCAGGAGGCTGTACTTGTTTCCTGGGTCTCGTGGTGCTGTCCTTTGGTGCATCAGGCCGTTCAGTCCTCGTTTCTGCAGTGAAAAAAGCAGTTACATCAACCTCAGCACATCCTCTGCTTGGCAGAAATTTTTAATTCAAGCAAAACTTGACTATATAGTTGAATATATAGTTGAATATTGCTTGAATAGATATATACCACCAAATGGTATGTCCACACCTTTTGAACACTTCCARGRTGACTGACTCYASCACTGCCCTGCACCACCTATTCCAGTGTTGGAAGAAACTTTTTGTAGTATCAGTTTCGATTCAGACATCTTTTATAGACACAAAACTGTATAACCTTGAACTACCATTAAATATCCTAAGTTGGAAGGGACCTACAYTGATTATTGAAGTYCAGCTCTTGTCCCTGCACTAAATACAAACTATATTCTAATTACTGAACAACTCGGAGCTTTTTCTGGGTTCTCTTGTCTGAAACCCATTGTGGGGATTTGTTAAACAAAACAAGGGGTCAGCAAGTATAAATTTTAGTGRGTATTTCCAACTTACTGCTGCTTTTGCTCTTCCTGAACCAGCAGAATGAAAGAACGACRACGAATGCAGATGCTGCTGAACCCAGAATGACAACGAGGATCATGCTGGCCTTGGCTCTCGTGGGGACAGGGAAGGTGGCAAAGGGCTGGGACAGCACAGTGAACTTCACCCCTGAGAATTAAACCAGTCAGTTTATTACAAAAGCAAGAACACTGATCTCACAGCTAAAACACCACCCTGTAACATTTCAACTGAGATGCCACTGTTAAAGATGCCTTCAGGGATCATAAATCCATCTCTCTCCTGATAGATTCAACAGTAATGGACAATATTTATTTGGGACTGAGTACCAGGACAGTCTAAATGTGTAACGGTATTTCTAAAATCTAAGTTTCAAGCTTTCAGTTCTTCCTGAAGCATAAACAGCTTCTTTGCATTCAATAAAACTTAATATTTCCTCCATGGATTTGTGTAACTGATGCAAACCCCAGAAAATATGTTCMCAAAGCATCTGCTTCTGAGGCCAAACAGATCAGGCCTCTACAGAAAACATTCACATTCTCCACAAGACAGAGAAGATGGTTTTGATAAGACAGTTCTTAATACAGATTTTTTTTACAGGCTATACCTGAATCATATCAATGTAAATCAGGGGAAACCCAGAAACATTCACCAGCATGAAGATTAAATCTGTGATGCAGAAAACTCTCAGTGAACTTGTTAATATTTTCCACTACATTGATAATGAGMATTATAAATAAAAAATGTCAGTGTCCCTGCTGTTGCACAGTAAATATTAGTCTCTTGAAAGGCAGAAGCTTTGGGTAATGCTCTGCACCCAGAGATCCTAAAGTTTTCTGTAAATGGCAGAATCAAGCAGGGCACTGCACATAGTTTCTGTGTTCAAGGGTTCATTGGGTCTCAGCATCTGAGTTTCAAGGACTGGAAGATGCTTAATACTGCCCTTTTGAAACACAGAGAGATTTTGGTTCCCGAAATTATTTCCAGAACAAGTTTGAATCCAGATGTGCCAGGCCAGGACCAGAGTTTAGGAAAACTGGCCCTGGTACTCTTTCAAAACCAACTTGAAGGATGTGGTTTAGCACATCCACTAGTTATCTGTCTTACAACCTGACTCATTATTGGTCACAACCCCACAATTCTAATAATTTTGATGGATGGATATTCCTTTTACTTGGATTCTGCTTTTAATAAAAATCTAAAAAAGCCTTTTTTTCATCAATTCATTCAAAAGAAAATCAAAAACGCTGTCAGATGGAGGCTTGGAGACCCGGGTAAGTAGCTGTAAGTACTTTTAGCAGAAACTAATTAGATTTTTGTCAGTGTTGTCCACCTGAACGAAGCTGAACTTCATCAGAACAATGTGGGAAGCAAGTTCCAATTGGGAGAAATCTGCCTGCAGGTACAAACACATATGAGCTTCAGCTGAGAGAAGAAATCTCCCAGGTATCAAGGACTCTACACAAACAGGTGTTAAAAGGTGTTTTGCACTACTCTAATAGTTGCTGAGTAGGATGCTGTTGGTTTAAATGGAAAGGGGAGGTATCAAACCCATTGGGATCCATATCAGTGAAGGGAATATTACTGTAAAATAAYACTATGCAGAGATGCTGTGAATAGCCTGCTCTCCCCAGGAACTGCCACTAAAACATTTGGGATTATGGCATTCAGCATCAGCTGCACCTCCTGAGCTGTCTCCAAACAGTAAATTATGCCAGGGTAGGTACACAGAGCAACTGGATCATGAAGATATATCCCAAACATCTTCTATTTGATTGTTTAATGTTGGTTTGTTTATCTCAAACAATAAAAGTGAATCTCTTCAGTAAGAATCTGGCAGTGTAAAAGCATTTTGCTGTCTCCAGCATGGCTCCTGATTGCAACAAGCAAAGGGGATTGTTTCTTTGGTGTGTGCTTTCACAATTCATGTGAAAAATGTGCAATAATCTGATTTACACTGGTGATACATGCACAGGTGCATCAGCTGCCTGTAAACTTTGCTACTCCTAAACATCCTTCATAGGGGAATGGTTTTAAACTGAAAGAGGGCAGATTTAAATTATGTATTAAACACTGGCACAAACTGCTCAGAGAAGCTGTGGCTGCCCCATCCCTGGAAGTGTTCAAGATCAGGCTGGATGGGGCTCTGAGCACCCTAGACCAGTGAAATGTGTCCCTTCCTAAGGCAGGAGAGTTGAAACTTGATGATCTTGAAGATCTCTTCCAACCCAAACCATTCTGTGATTCTATTGTTAAGTCTTAGTAACTCTCTGATTGATTAAATATTTCAGRAAAAGGATGTCTGTTTGACCTTTGTTTAGAAAAAAGATTTTGGGATTTCCTTGAAATARGTTTCAAAGTGCACTAAGCTCTGCTTCCAGCCTGAAGAGTCAGATCCTGTGAGATGCTGACTTTCTACCTGCTCTCACTGAAATAAAGATAGTGGGAGCTGCATGTGTTTGGCAGCTCAAAATACACAAAAATCCCCTGTGAAATGCCCATCTTCAAGTACTCCCTACACTGCAATTCTTCCTTTGCCAAACCACGGGCAGCACTGGATTTGGATGAGCCACTTGTGGCAGTCTAAATGTTTGCAAACCTCTTCTAATACTTTTTGTTCAGATTTTTACATCAGTCACTTTCACTTGGCCAATTCATCCACCAGATGTACTTGTTCCCTCTGCTACTTTCTGGCTGAGACAAGATAAAAGATACAGATTAGATAGATAGATAGATAGATAGATAGATAGATAGATAGATAGATAGATAGATAGATAGATAATATATCTATATAATTTACAATGATATCTATCTAGAGAGATATCCATGTGTATATATCTATATAAAAAGAGACATGGGTGGATGGGTGGATGGGTGGATGGATGGATGGAAGGGTGGATGCAATGCCACAATAGAGACTTTACACATAATTTACAACATTTATATCTTAATATGGCCTTGGACTGCATGCCAAATATGTTCCTGTTTCACCACAGACTTGCTTCAGCAGCCATCCTGAGACAAGAAACTTTGACCTCTATCCACCTTCAGAACCAGGTTTAGAGACAAATTCAGGCCCCCAAACAATTTCAGAGGTGGTTTTTTGGGTTTTTTTTTTGTTTGTTTGTTTGTTTTTTTGTTTGTTTTTTTGTGCAGACACCTTGAGGATTTCACAAGGCAGAGATGACACGGTGCTTTGTCTCCAGTGTCCCCCTCAGCTGGAATTTCCAAGGAGGCATAACCATGGCTGCCTCCTCATTATTGAGTTGCTCAGAGACCTCGTGCAGGTTGTTCTGAAGGTTCCAACATCATCTCCATAATCTCTCAGGAGACCCCTGGCAGAGCCCAGTCCTGGAGTCATGCTCTGAATGCGCATAAATACCTATAAAGGTGGCCAGGTGCAGGCAAACAGTCAGGAAAAGGCACTGTGAAAATAACCAGGAGCACAGATGGAAAATTTCTGAATATAAACAGGAGTAAAAAAAAAAGAAGGAATGAGTTTGTAGGAAAAAGTTTGCTCTGGCAGCTTAACTGACTTTAAGTATCTGATTTCTACTTAGGACAAACTAGGGAATCCAGGGAGAAAGTGGCACCTCTTTCTGACAATAATTCTTTGTACAAATTCATCAGGTTTGAGAGACCTTGCCTAAATAGCACAGGCATCACCCAGCGCTCCTGCTGCAAGGGGAATGCCAACTTGGACGTGGAACAGAACTCAGACTATTTAGAGGTTTGGCATTGCTCCACCCATTCAAAGTYAAACTCCTATTTTATAAATTCAGGCCACCTGTAGGGCTTTGATTTTACCAGACCAAAAAATACACAAAATATGGAGCTTACCTGGAGGTGATGTGACAGTGAACACAAGTCTCCAGTTTGTCCCTGAGCTAGAGACAGCCAGATTGGAAAAGGCTGCACATCCATCTATGACCTGCACTTGAGTGAGCCCTGGAGAGTCAGAAAAAATCATATTGCAATTAACAGCACCCAAGTAAATACTGCCTAAAGACCTCAGAGGGTCCTCGTGACTTTAAGGGACTTCAGAGAGCCTAAATTCATTGTCCATCCTAATAATAAACATTGTGCCTAACCCCAGAAATTTCACATAGAGGTACTTAGAAAAAAAAAAAAAAATCCTGAGGGATTGGAGGACTTCAGCTACTAAATACTGCTTTTTTTGAGCTCATTGTAAAATAGCATTTACTGCATGTCGTGGGGGTGTAATGTGAATACAGATGTTAAAGGGAAAAAACAAAGGTAACAGGAGCTATAGAGATGCAAGAAAGTTCAAGATTCTCTTTTTTTTTTTTTATTTAAGTCATGTCTTGTGTGACTAAATACTACTTCACAGTTAGGAGAGTSATAATGAGAGACAATTTTCTGTCCTAAAGGGATGGTCTCAAGAAGTCAACCACTGTAACTAAGGGAGGAGCTGAATCTTCAATTCTTTTCTGATTTGTAGGTGTTTCACCTTAACTTTGGGGCATAGTCCTTCCTATGCTATTGTTAAATCTCTTGGAATTTTTCTCCAGCTCTGTCAGATGCTTTGAAAGGTATTTGGCCATGAAAAAAGTCTGTGGTGACTGCCCTGGGACAGTACAGGAGATGCTGTCAGCTGGAAATCTGTCAGGGGGAATAAAACTCCATGGGGAGCATTAAAATGAAACCCAGGAGACAGAGTTTCTCCACCACTTTACCTCTCATTGTGAGCTATCAGGGAATGCATTCTGACCCAACATTTACCCTTGCCACGGTTGTTATTTCTGTAGGCTCTTTTTAAAAGYTATAATTTACTTTGCAACTGGATCCCCGTTTTACTGTGTGTATCTTTGAGCACCAGCCAAGGCCTGGCCTTTGAGTGATGCTGACCAGGTCTGGTCTGCATTCAGGCTCTTGGGGTGAGAGGGGTGAAATCCTAAAGACTGACAAATTTCCAAATGTTGGTTCAGGTGGGGGTGAGATGCCAGAACTTCCTCAGGATGCTGGACTTGCTCCAGTGATCACAAACACAGACTTTTTGCCTGCTGAAAGACAACATGTCATAACTATTTGCTTTATGAAGCAGGTGGTTTGGCATTTTATTGAGGTTAAGCAATGCAGGTGAAGGGACATAAAGTTGAATGAGGGCAGGACATTTCTGCTCTGCCATTCTCATGTCCAGGATATTGAACAATGTGGTGAAGAAGCAAAATCTGAACTATGGCCAGAAATTGCTCGAGACAAGGTCTTAGGCAAAASCTTGCCACAAGTTAAATATTTAGCAACAAAAATGATAAAGTTTCCCCTCTCTGTAAGTCTGGTGCTATTTAATTTGTTAATATTCCAGTAAGTTTTGATTACATATATGGGTTTGTTTTTTTTTCTATTTTTGTACAGTATTTAGCACACCACACCACCAATTTCATTACGAGTGTCCAGGATCAGCTGTGATATGTAAATAAACAGCAATTTATATTGTGAATAGACTTGGTAGAGATGTGAGAATCTAGATTTTCTTTATTCCTCCAGCCTAATGCTGGCTCATCCATCCACTGCACATACAATCCTCCTTATGACAACGTCTGCRTGGACTACCAAGATTTTCTTGGCTCCGATACTCACTGTAATAAGGATTTTAACAGAGGGCCTTGTCAGCCRTGTTCAAATACTTCATAATTGCCATTTCTAGTGTGTGACAGAGCCTGGAGTACTGTACTGTACTTCTCAACAGAGACCAGCTCYGCTTTCGGGCACATATGCTTCAAAGCTCCGAATATTACGGATATATATGGGAGTCTTCCCAAAGATCTCTCAGGCAAGCTGGTATTTAACGCAGAAGCACAGCTAATTTGGAGCTAAACTGCCTTCCACGAGGCACTTTGGCTGCTGTCAGATGAAGCAGGCTCAGTGTGCTAGACGGGACCCATTTCCATTAAATGCTGCTTTCATGTGCTTCAAAAGACGAGTGCAATAAGGATGTTTGTCAAAGGAAAAACTGCAGCAAACTATTACATGCAGAACATCTGTACTGTGCTGCTCTTCCTTTGCTGGAGTTTATTGGCCATTAATTTGATGTATGTATCTTTTAAAGAATGTGAAGTGTATTTCTCTTCAGTGACTCTTTCTTTTCCCCCTCTTTTTCTTTCTTTCTTTCTTTCTTTCTTTCTTTCTTTCTTTCTTTCTTTCTTTCTTTCTTTCTTTCTTTCTTTCTTTCTTTCTTTCTTTCTTTCTTT